CAACAACCTGCTGGGGGACAATCTCAATCCCATTTTCTCGACGGCTGAGCTGCACGCCCTGAAGAATCTGCGCCTGCTCGACCTCTCGGGCAACAAGATCAAACTGATCGAGGAGGGCGTGCTCAAGGGCTGCATGGACCTCAAGGAGCTCTTCGTGGACCGCAACAGCTTGACCGCGGTGCCAGTCAACTCGCTCAACGGACCCAGCGCTCTCAAGCATCTGTCCTTGCGCCAGAATCACATAGGTAAGCGTCTTCCTCATATTGAGCAGCTTCAGTTGACTCAAGTCTGAAATGCTTTGCCTTTCCCAGCCAATCTCTACAGGGACTCCTTCACGGCTCAGGCTCAGTTGGAGATCATCGATCTGCGCTACAACATCTTGCGCAGCATCGACAGCCAGGCCTTCCACGGACTGCGCAAGGTCAGGGAAATCAAGCTGGCTGGCAATCGCCTAGCCCATCTGAACAGCGACGTCTTCGAGCAGCTGCACACTCTGCAGAAGCTCGATCTGTCGGAGAACTTCTTTGCTCAATATCCCACGGTGGCCCTGGCTGCCATTCCGGGGCTGAAGGCCTTGAATCTATCCTCCAACATGCTGCAGGTGAGTTGCGGATATGAAATTGTGTGACAGAGTATTGCCCAGTTGATGACACTCTTTATTTTCTCTCTGCCCTAGCAACTGGATTACACACACATGCAAGTAGTCAAGTCTCTGGAGAGCCTAGACCTGAGTCGCAATAGCATAACCAGCATTCCGCCTGGCACGTTCCGGGATCAGACCTCACTCAAGTATCTGGATCTCAGTCTCAATTCGCTGCGAACGGTGCGTATACATTATATAGTAAGAAAGAGAGGGAGAGGAGACCAATGTAATCTCCTTCGTTGCAGATTGAGGACGACGCCTTGGAGGGTCTGGAGAGTCTGCAAACGTTGATCATCCGGGACAATAACATTCTGTTGGTGCCAGGCAGCGCTTTGGGTCGTCTGCCCCAGCTGACCTCGCTGCAAATGGACTTCAACCGCGTGGCAGCGCTGTCGTCGGAGATTCTCGGCTCTGTCCAGGCGAGCGACATAACCACCTTGTCGCTATCCCGGAACGTTATCCGGGAGCTGCCGCCTGGCAGCTTCCAGATGTTTAGCAGTCTGCACACTCTGGATCTGTCGGGCAATTCGCTGGTCATGATCAATGCGGACACCTTTGCGGGCCTGGAGGGCACGCTGATGCAGCTGAAGCTGGGCCAGAATAAGCTCAGTGGCCTGGGCAACAATCCGCTGACGCTGCCCGAGCTGCGCAGCCTGGACCTGAGCAGCAATAGCCTAACGGAGCTGAGTCTGAACATCTTTGAGGACTTGGAGAACTTGCAATCGTTGAACCTGAGTGGAAATCATTTGATGCCCTTGATGCCGGCGCTCTTCCGGCCTCTGGCCCGGCTGCAGATCATCGATCTTAGCCGCTGCAGCATTCGGCAGTTCAGCGGAGATCTGCTGGGTGGGCTGCAGGACCTGAAGCATATTCACTTGGCTGGCAACCAGCTGCAGGAGCTGCAGGACGGCAGCTTCGTGAACCTATGGAACATCAGCTCCATTGACCTGTCCAACAACCAGATCAACTCGATCCGCGCTGGCGCCTTCGTCAATGTGATGCAGCTGAAGCGCTTGGACTTGCACGGCAACCAATTGTCGGCCTTCAAGGGCGAGTTCTTCAACACGGGAACGGGCATGGAGGAGTTGGACATCTCACATAATCAGCTCAGCTATCTGTTCCCCTCCTCGTTCCGCATACATCCTCGCCTGCGCGAGATCAAGGCGGCCCACAACAAGTTCTCCTTCTTCCCGGCCGAGCTGATTGGCTCGCTGCAGTACTTGGAGTACATTGATCTGTCGCACAATCATTTGAAGACGGTTGAGGAGCTCGACTTTGCGCGCTTGCCACGTCTGCGCGTGCTGCTCCTGGCGCACAACCAACTGGACATGGTCAGCGAGATGGCCTTCCACAACTCCACCCAGCTGCAAATCCTCGACCTGTCGCACAACAGCCTCGATCGCATTGGTGAGCGCACCTTTGAGGGTCTGGTGCGGCTGGAGCAGCTGAATCTGGAGCAGAACCTGCTGGCCGAGCTGTCGGACAATGTGTTTGAGCACACCAAGCTGCACATGCTGGAGAACATAAATCTGGCCAGGAATCGGTTTGAGTACGCTCCACTCAAGGCCTTGCAGCTGCGCCACTTCTTCGTCTCCTCGGTGGATCTGAGCCACAACCGCATAAGGGAGCTGCCCAGGGACGACAGCATCATGGTGAACATCAAGCGCATCGATCTCTCCTACAATCCGCTCACCATGCAGGCGGTGCACAATGTGCTCCACGAACCGAAAACCGTGCGGGAGCTGAATCTGGCCGGCACAGGCATCGAGGAGCTGCAGCTGCTGGAGACGCCCTTCCTGCAGTATCTGAATCTCTCGAACAACAAGTTGCGCAACATCAAGGCGGAGGTCTTCCAGAGGGTCACCCTGCTGGAGACTCTGGATCTGTCCAGCAATAGGCTCGAGTCCCTCAACGACATCTCGCTGGCGTGGCCACAGCTGCAGGTGCTGCAGGAGCTGGACGTGTCCAACAACAGCTTCGACCTCATCTCCCAGTCAAACTTTGCCCACCTGGAGATGCTGCGCACCCTGAAGCTCAACCACCTGCCGCTCTGCACTCGCATCGAGAAGAACGCCTTCAAGCCTTTGGGCAACTTGGCCAACTTGGAAGCCTACGAGCTGCCCGTGCTGGGCTACCTGGATGTGCAGGGCATCATGGAGCTGTTGCCTGGCCTGGAAATGCTCGACATTGAGGTCAAGGATGCGACCATAGGCAGCGAGCAAATACAGCCACTGAAGCACCCGAGACTCAGCTCCATTGGCATCCGCGGCGAGCGACTGAAGTCCATCTCATCTGGCACTCTGGCCGGGCTGAAGAGCAGCGACTTGACCATCAAGCTGCAGAACACCTCGCTGACTGCCCTGCCTCCAGCTCTGCTGTTCCCGGTGCCGCGCTCCTCGCACCTGACCCTCAACGTGGAGGGCTCGAAGATTGCCTCGCTGGTGCCGCAGTTCCTGAATGCCCTGGACGACCGTCGAGCCAGCCTGCAGCTGCAGGGTCTGGACAGCAATCCCATCAACTGCAATTGCGACGCACGTGCTCTGCGCCGCTGGCTGCCCAGCTCGAGCATGTCGGAGCTGCTGTGCCGCCAGCCGAGCTACCTGGCCGGCCGCAAGCTCACCGAAGTGGGCGACGACGAGCTCACCTGCGATCCGCGGCGCATGACCTCCACGTCGGCGCGCCCCTCAATGCCGCAGCTGCACAAGAGCTCCGCCTCCAGCCAGCTGGTGACGCGCACCAGCAGCAGCGCCCACACGGAGGAGCCACTCATCATCTGGAGCATGGAGCCCACGCAGCCCACCATCATGAAGATCAAGACCAAGGCGCCGCTAATGAAGGCCCAAGCGCCGATCATCAGCAACGATGACACCCTCATCATTGGCATTGTCGGCGGCGTCGTCGCCTTCATTGCCATCCTCATCATCATCATCTGCATCATCAGGCTGCGCATGAGCAACGCCGAGTACCAGCAGAGCGCCGCCATGATGGGCCTGCCGGCCATGCAGCAGCAGCAGCTGGGCGCCCACAATGCCGCCTATAGCTACAAGAACGGAGCGGGTGCAGCGCTCTATGCCGTGCCGCCTTACCAGGCCAACTATGCCACGCTGCCGCACAAGGCGGCCTCCATCCACCAGTCGTCGCAGAATCTCAGCCAGCGGCAGCAGCAGCAGCAGGCGCAGCAGCAGCTGGCAGTGCAGCAGGCAGCGGCTGCGGCCGCCTACTCCACCATGTCGCGCATGTCGTACTTCAGCGGTGCGGGTGCTGGCGGTGGTGCTGCCAGCGCCGATGGGGCCGAGAGCTTGACGCATCATCAGCATCAGCATCAGCCCTACATAATCTACTCGGACGACAAGGCCTACAGATAGACGTGGCCAGGTACACTCCAAGCCAGGCTCCCAGTCAGCCAGCTGCAGGGCGTGGCCAACACAGGTTCTACACAATCGTCTATTCTATTCGTCGTCAGCTTATGTATCTTGTATATAGACTATAGTTCATTCTCTAAACGTATCCGTATCTTTACCTAATTAAGTCCAAAAAATCGTTGCATAAGCGAAATAAACAAATTATAGATAATAAATAACTGAGAGTCCTCACTATAGATATCTATTAAATTAAATTACAAATATAATATTCACTATTTATATGCAAATCTGAGAAGTCTTCTACTTCTACTCTTTCCATGCAGCACATATGTACATACACACACACACACTTACATTAGTGGGATATTTAGAGTTGCCATATTTACTTGATATTTACTCACTGTCTTTACTCTCTTGTGCTCTCCGCGAGCAACGGCATCTGAGAGCCATGCGATGTGTGCGAAAGAGCGAGATGCCAGTTGTTCTTCTACTCCTACACATACACTTACGTCCTGTGGGACGTACTCACATTCTTTTCTCTCTCACGGTATCCCTCTGCAGCCACGAGTTGAGTGTGAAAGAGTGAAATGCCAGCTGTCCTTGAAAGCTATTCTATTTTGCTTTGCTTACGCTCACTACTCTCTCAGACGCACGTGTGTGTGTGTGTAACTGCGAATGCACTTCTGCCCCACTGAGAGGAGAGCGAGCAATAATTGGATCTCCTCGTCGTTGCCTTATTTGAGTGTAGAGTATCAAATCATAAGTTAGAAACGAATCACACACACAAACACACATACATACATGTCAATTTAGTACAGGATTTGCCAAGCTCACATTCCCATTTTCATTTTTGCACGTCTATTTGCTCAAAGCGTTTGATTTTGCCTATAGCTTTACATTTCACCTGCTATTATTCCAGTTTGCTTTATCATCTCTGCCCTTTGATTTATTCCATATCGAGCGGTAAACGATTTTGTTATTTAACATTTTACTTTATTTTTGAGCCCGTTTTATTAGTCCGCAATATATATTTGGTACAACAAGATTTCAAAAAATGACTATACTCGTAAATGCAAATACATTCATATATATATATATATATATATATATATATATTAAGTTCACATGTAAATGTGTAAGAAACTTCAGGGTAACTATTCACAGTCTTTGTTTTCCATCGTTTAACAAAAAGAAACAAGATCATATGAGCTTATATACTAAATGATTTAACAAATTACAATTTCAATTACCGTAAATATCGTTTGCCTACAGTTAAAATATACGAGAGCTTTATATGTATATTCATTAGTGAGTTTAAATCTGAAGTGCTCAACTTGTTTTTATGCCTATCTCAGAGCCCTTCTTGATTTTAATTTCTTTATCGAAGCCTTTTTTCGTAGGTTTAATCTACGCCATTTGGGCGTAGGAATTGTGCATCTTGTAGTCTCTGCGGCGATAATATACCATCAGTCCATAGCTGGCGAGGAGCAGGATGGCTATAATTCCTATAAGAATGCCTGTATAAATGTACAAATATAATCATTATTACAGATTAAATGTTAAAAATGATTAAACCAATCACCGGAAACTCAAATAAATTTGGAATAATTAAGCATTTTTCCAAAAATAACGGGAAATACAGTACCTGTTACCGAGATATAGCATAAGCTGAAGTAACGATACTGGGGAAATAAGCAAATACTGGGAACTAAAATATATAATGGCAATGATTAAATGAAGAACAGAAATGAAATATATTAGGCAAGCGAGTAAAAATACAGGAAAATTAAATGAAAAATGGGAATTAAAACTTAAATAGAAGAATTTATACCAAATTACTAAATACGTAAAAGAGAATTATAAAAATGTGGCATAAGCATAGTAGGAAAACCAAATACCTGAAAATTAAAAAATATCATTCCAATTCCATAAAAAGAAAAAAAAATGTGAAATTAATGAAGTAAAGAACTAGGAGCGACACAACAAGTGATAACAAAAGAATAGTTTGGTTATTCTCTATTGTTATGTATTAGTATTAATATTACTTAAATATATGTTAAATGTGTTAGGAAATGCAGAATGTCTTTCTTCAGATAACTTGCCTGTTGCTGCACCCAGATTAGCCTCCTCGTACGTCATTGTCAGTGTCGATCGCTTGCATTCTTGCGCCCAATTATCGGGCAAGACATCATCGTATAACTGGAACATTTTCGACAACGGACAGGATACTCCGCATCCGGGTATATCCATAGGCAGCGGTTCTGCCGTTGTGTTCTTATAGAAAACCGATACGAATGGGGCATCGTTATCATCCACGCGCAACTCAAATAGTATGCACGCTGTGTAAGGTGGACTGTGTAGCTGTATTGAAACGGCGAGTATTAGTAAAAATAAGTGTGACAGAGAAATTGATAATAAGAGCACGCTAGTCATCACTGCTGGAAACTGTACATCATATATCAATACCGTTATATATTCGCTTACCTGGAAAAGTTTCAGAGTATTCAACAAGCTGGCAACTGTCGTGTCGTGTGCACTATAAATAAACACATTCCGATCCGGTCTCAACTGCTTCTTATGCTTGGTCTCCAAGCGATTAAGTACATCTTTAAGCAGAGGTCCGGCCTTCAGGCGCGCCAGCTGTCGCGTATACGTATTGATCGAGAATGCAAAGTTGGAGGCGTAAGTTAGCTCAGAACTGCCATAAACCTTTTTCGCCCACACTGGCAAAGTTTTGTTGTACAGTGTCTCGATGAACAACGTGTTGTTAAGATATTGTGCGCCTATAAATGAGTCGACAACTCGGCCACTATTACTTGACAAGTAGTTGAAGAGTTTCTTGTACCGCGCAAACAGAGATTGGAACTGATCGGAGTTCTTAAACGTTTCCAAATAGTAGTCAAAAGCGGGACAGGGCGCCTTGGCAGCTAAAATCTGTATGGGCATAATTGAATATATTAAGGACATTTGAAATTATAGTAATAGTGCCTTAACCATACCGCATCCTCCTTCTCGGGTATTGTATGCACCGGAATCGGTTGCCACTTGATTTGCGCATTCCACACATCGTCGCCAACGGGCTCGTATAGGCCAGCCAAATTGGACTCCGCACTCATTAGTGTTCGATCCACATCAGTGGACTGCACAAAAATCTGTTCATTGTCGAACTTCGTGTCCAACAATGAGCTGTACCTACTCCTCAGCCATTTGCCTAGCTGATAATGCTGGAACTTGCCGCGCTATCAGGACAAACAAAACAGCTTTCAGTATATGAATCACAGCGCGATTAACTACTCACATTAGTCAACTGTCCCCAGCCCGTGGGCCAGTATTTCCTATCATTCCAAGGATCTGTAGGATACGGGTCAACAGGCATTCGGTCGCCATGTCTGTAAATCTGCATTGGGTCACATTTTAGTTGAAACATATGGCACACGACACACGCCACGACTTACCACGTGTGCAAACTTCAGCTGTCCAGGTAAGCTGCTTTGTACATCTGCACTGTCGACCTCCAAACAACATATGGAAATTAACAAAAAGACAAAAGCCTTCAGACAATAACACGAATCGTTCGTGAACATCATCAACACTGTTTGTTTGTGTGTGTATGGGTCTGAGTAGGTGTATTTGGCTGTGCTGAAGCTCTGTGTAAGCAAATTATAAATAGTTAGATAAATAATACTTGTTTTTCTGTCTTATCAGTCGAACAACTTACTTCATACACAAACGTGATCTTTATCAGACATTCAACTAAATGCAAATGCGAACGCGAATGTTTTTAAGCAAATGCCATTGTTGCTCGATTCTCGATGATACGAACGATTAATTTAAAGTGCTATCGATTACTTATGACAGTATGACCAAAATATTACAAAGCGTATAATCTAGTATTTTTCCGGTAGCTTCGAATTTCAAATGAAAGCAAGCTCTCGTCCATATTCAAATTTTTAATGATAAACTATATTTATTGGTTTATTGAAAACTGTTTTTAATAGTTTGATACTTGCATTGATAATATCGTAAGTCATCGGCCATTTGGGAAGAACATGTCACACTATTTGCACAGTGTTAAAATAATCAAACATTGTTTTGCACACTTAATCATTACAATTAACAAATATACTGATTGATTGTTTGGTCTTATGGGTAACGCGTTGTTTTTAAATTAAAAAATAAAAACTGTTTTCACACTTTACGTCTTAACTTAAGATGTTGCACGAGCGCAATTATTGGAAAACAAAATTCGGCTATTATGTTAGCATTCACTTAGATTATATAAGGTCCATGTTTAAAAGTTATATGCAAGAGGATGACTTAACTTCAGAATCTTCGGTTGCCGCTCATATTTGGGCCGTTGAAACTGTGTAAGAAATTAACGTTTTATCGTGGCGTATTTATCGATATTCAGGACAAGTCTTTGCATACCGATTTCGATTTCCTGGCACACCCAAGGGCGGAAAATCTGAATGATATGCATTTGCAGCATTGCGATTGTGACTATTGTGATTGTTGTTAGCTGGTCCGTGTTTGTTAAAATTTTGAGACATGTTGCCACTGCTGGCACCACCGCGGCGGCCACTGAAGCCACTACCACGACCGCCAAAGCCGCCCCGACTGGCATTGAACCCACCACGACCACCGCCTTGATGGCTGCCACTGCAATAATGACAGAAATTAGTTTACTTACAGCACTCTTCAGGCACCATGACACCTACCTGCTCATGACAGAATTGTTACGATTGCGCTGATACATGCCGCCAGCATCTGCACTTCCACTGGGCACCATTGGACTGTTGCCAAAGCGACTTTGCTTCGCAGCAAAAGGGACTTGATGATGATGTGACTGCTGCTGCTGTTGATGATGATGATGATCGACAGCGGGCAGTGCAAAACCACGACGATCTTGGCCGATATTATGACTTGATCCCCCACTCCTCTGACTTCCACCAGCTCCAGCTCCAATCGAACTATTACCATAGTAATCATTGGGAGTCATGCCTTGGCTGAATTTGTTTTTGAATGGCTGCGTTGGGCCATCGAAGTTTTGGTTATGCTGTGGCAAGCCCTTACTGTAAGGCGTACTGCGCGGCTGCCTAAAGTTTCCTTCGTTTCGCACGGGTCCGAATTGGCTGCCATTTGTGCTAGATGACCGATTACCTCCGGCTGATCGAAAACTATTGCCACTCGAGTGGCTCCCACGACTGAAGGTATTGCCCCCGCGTCCTGGAAATAAATCGATTAATCAGAGTGCTTAAATATATGAGTCTCCTTACCTGGCATCGGTCTACGATTGCCGGTACCGCCACCTGCTCCACCACTACCACCCCCGACACCACCTACACCTCCACCTCCACCACCACCACGTCGGTCTTTGGGTCTGCCCGGCTCGACGACTATGGGCTGTCCCTTGAATTCAACGCCATTAAGAGCCGCGATGGCTGCCTCGGCCATTTCAATGGTCTCCAAGTGTACGAATCCGCATCGGTTCATAATATCACACTCGACTACCACGCCATAATTTGTGAACAAATGTCGCAGCTCCTCGGGCTTGCAGCCAGGCGGCAAGCTGCCCACAAAGACTTTCGCGGTCTGCACAGAGTTGACAGATAAATCCACATTATATTGGTCAACTTGTTACTGAGACTGTATCGATGGTACTTACAGACATATAGGATGCCACTTATCTTCGTGCTTTTTTTCGCGTGCACTCTACTTACACTTTTATTTTTTATATCGTGTGGCCGATTAAAGCGATTAATGGTGATGCGATGAAAACAAAGTCAGTCGATGTCGAAATATCGATAGCAGTTAATCGAGTACAGTTTTGTTTGTTTACTAATTTTTTGTTTTTAAGAATGTGGGCGCCCAGTAATGAAGAAACATATTTTGATAACATGGACAACAAAAAGAATGTGGTGCATATAATGCCCACCGTGGAAATGCTGGTTACTTTCACTGCCGACAGGGACTTAATGCGCGCCAAAAAAGCTTGTTTACTGTACGCCGAAAAAGTCGACTTCAAGGAGCTAATCGTAAGCCACTCTTGTAGCAAACGAGCTTTAATTGTAAATATGCACTATATTAATGGACGTGCACTTGCAGCAATTGCGGTTGGCCGAGAAATGCGACCAGCGGCGCATGTATATCACCACTGTGGACAGCGCATCCTTTCAGGAGTTGAAACAGGATCAGTCGCTAAATGTTACATTCGCAGGCTTTATGGAAAATGTTGTGCGTATGCTTAAAGACTGTCAGGCCGGCAAACTAGAGCTGTGCCTATCCTCCAGGGAAGCTATCGCCGATCAACAAACTCACGACTATCTTCTCCAGTTCGTGGAAATACGTTCCTTCAAGAATTTGGTTCATTTGTGTTTGCCCTGCCGTTCTGCTCCACTGAACACTGTGCTCTTTTATATTAATGCGGCGCTAGACGCAACGCACAAGAAGCTCTTTTTGGTGGAGCAGAGCACGCAGCAGCTTCAAATGGAATTAAATGCTCAGAATGCGCACATAGATCAGTTAAATTCCGATAATGCCAAATTGCGTGAGACACTGGCCGAGAATACACGCCAGCTTACTGAAAAGCATTCCGCGGAACTGAAAGAAATGCAACTCTCACTGGAAAAGCTGAACGAACAGCGGAGCAATGAGTTGGAACGCAACCGACGCTCAATTGCTGGACTGCAGGCTCAATTGGAACGAATCACGTTAGAGAAGGCAGAACTAAAGGCCATGCACGAGCAAGGCGAGAAGCGAAATCAGAGCTTAAACGAAGAGCTCTCCTGCTGCAAATCGCGGATTAGCACGTTGAAGGAACAGCAGGAAAAACTCCATACCGAATTAACAGCAGCGAAGAAACAAGAGCGAAAGTTGGAGTACAAAATTGAAGACTTAAAGCAGCATACACTCGAGCTACAGGAGAATATACAAAAGGGAAAAAAAGAGAAAGTGAGTAATATCTACACTAATTTATTTCTATACTTATTATGTTTCACATGCAGGCCAACATTGCTGCAGAGCTGGAGGCGGAGAAGAAGATTCTGCATACAAAACGTCAAGCACTGGAAATGGCTTCTGATGAAATAGCCAAAGCGAATCAAATCATCCTCAAGCAATCGCAAGAGCTGCTCACCCAGAAGAAGACAATCACATGGCGCACCGAGGTGGCGCTGCAGCAGGAGAAGGCAATAAAGGAGAAGGAAAAACTGTTGAGCATGCAGGAAGAGGAGTTGCAGCAGGCGCGCTTAACCATACAGCAGCTGCGCGAAGAAATTCCACAACAGCTGGAATCCATGCGACATTTTGCGAAGGGCCTTGAGGATAAGTACACGACCCGTAAGTTGATCTAAATACAAATATGTATATACTGTTATAAGCATATATCATATGTCTTGCAGAAATACTCACGCTTAAGGCACGTTTAGCCGGTGGTAAAGAAAACTCCAGTCGCAGAGCTAATCGGAAATAGGCACTAATATTTAGTTAGTTAAGTATTGTATAAATATGATGATTGTTAGATAATTATTTTAAACCGTGCTTTAATTAAACAATATTTATGTCGATCGTTTGTGGGCTCAATAATCTTCATCAGTATTTTTTTCCGCTTGCACTTGCGCCGTTGCCACATTTACGGCCTGGCTGATGTCCTCGAACTGGTTCATTTTCAGTCTTTCGCGTATAAGTTCGGCAATGGCTTTCTGTGTTCGCCGTTCTAGTCGTTCCAGCTTTTTGCTCACGTCCCGCTTTAGATCCCAATCCGGCTTGCGTGGAGCCAGGTTCGTGATGTCTATTTCGTCGATAACCATTGGCTGCTGCAGCAGATTAAGCTGTGACTGGATGGCAGTTTCTATGTCCCCGGTAGGTTCTTGTGGCAGTACTTCTCCCTCTGTGGTTTCATTATGTGGCTTATAGCTGCGAAACACTGGCCTGAAATACCAAAACATTTTACTCACATGTAAACAAACAGAACTCGTACCAATCTTACTTTGGCAATTTTTCACTACCGCCTTTAGTGTCCGCAGTCTTGGATAGAGCTTGTTCACGCAGTTTTTGTAATCGCTCCTTACGTTTCAAAGATTCCTCTGCCAGCTTGCCCAAATTGTTTTCATCATCGTTAGCCATCGCTCAAATAGAATTAAACCAATAAAAGGGGTCTCTCCTTCAATGTTTCTTGATTTGCTTCGATACAACGATTATTATTGACTATCGATAGTGAAATACATAGAGAACAGTAACTTTGTATTTCTTTGATATATCTATAAAATTTTTATTTGTAATATCGAAAATTAAAAACAAATAATATAATTTCCTTGCAGTCATAAAACAGTGAGCATATATATTCGATAGTCAGATTCTTTATTCACGAACAAAAATGTATTTAATTTCCAGCCGATATACATTAACGATATGCTTGCGAATACTCAATTAGATACAGAAACATTGCAAGTTGGCAGTTCCCGTTTTCCAGGCACAAGTGTGAGGGGCGAATAAAAACAACACAAACTTTTTACTTGAAAAATAAATAAAAACAATCGCAGTTTGTATTTGGTTTTACCAATCTGCAGATCTTTTACTATTGCCAATGAGCTAACTATTAATCAATCAAAATTTACAAACTGCGATATATAATAATGTAGCAGCTGCTGTGGCAGACCAATCATTGGAGTAATACAAAATTTGCTGCTGTTGCTGCTGCTAGCGAGCGCCCGTTGGTGCAGGTAAATAAAAACACTTCAGTGGCTATTAAAAACTATTTTTATGTACTTAACAAATGACACATCGAGGCGTGTGCTAATTTCAATTTCGTTTCCGATTAAAGGGAGCTGCAGCCACCGTCGCCGCGATCAACAACTAACTGCAGCGGCATCCACACATACACGCACACACACACAGAGAGAGAGAGATACATATACATATAGAGCGCCTCGTAGAACTCATTGTTCTGTGACTGTGACATCGTTTATACAGACGTCGCCTCACCGGCTGCTCGTTGCGCGCTGCCCGTTGCCCGCTGCCCATTGCCAGTGGCCCGGCTCTTCAGTCAGCTATAGCTGTATCTAAAAATGGAGTGGACCAGAGAGAAGACATTGCTGCTGATCAGCGAGTACCGACAGCGACGCGGACTGTGGGACATGACATGCGACGAGTATCGCAAGAAGGATGTCAAACAGCGTCTACTAAACGAAGTTAGCGAAGTTCTCGGTGGTAATATACCCATACCAGAGTTGGAGAAAAAGTTCCATACACTCCGCACACAATATCATCGCGAAATAAATCGCATGAAACGCAAGGAGCCGTACAATTCAAAGTGGTTTGGCTTTAAGAATCTCGTCTTTCTTAGCTCCCCGTTTGCGTGTCGCTCCACCAAAGGCCGTTCCAAAGACAAAGACGACGCAACAGTACAAAAATATATATTGGGCGACGTAAACGCCGGAACTGGCACTACGGAAGCCAACAATATGAACGACGAGTATATAGTCCCGCCGCGCAAATCGCACGCGAGCAGTCGAGCGCAAGAGCTGGAGAAGCTGATTGAGGAGACGACCAAAGATATAGAAGATACTGAGGACGAGGAGCCCGGTGTGGAGGAGGATGTGGATACCAAACCCAAGCTAAACAAAGAGCTCAGTGGCACGTATGTGCACATCAACGAAGATGAGAGCGAGGCAGTCGAGACACACACACACCAGCAGCAACAGCACACCCATGCCCACACCCATTCCCTACCCCATGCACATCCGCATCCACATCCACACCACCATCAACAGTCCATGATGGAGTTACATCACTCAGCAAATGCTGTGGAATCGGTCAGCTTTCAGGCCAACGAAAGTGGCGAGCTCCACTACCAGTCGACATCGTCGACGCCCAACGCTGGTGGCGGAGGTCCTAGCTCCTCGTTGCATGTGATGCCAACGCGTATCATCAAAATACAGCGCCGCGACACGTCCAACCAGGAGAATGGATATTTTGAGGAGCAGCAGACGCAACATCAACTGCATCCGCCGCCGCCTAAGCGGCTCTATTTCGATCCAAATGGCACGCACAGCACCACAATTCTATCTGCATCCACGCTGCAGACAGCCTCGCAGAATGCCAACGGCAATGGCAATGGCAATGGTAGCAATGTGTTGACCGCAACCTCCAGCTCCGGGCTAACGAGTGGCACACTGCGCCTGCCTCGCGTCAATGCCATAGTGAATGCCACTTCGCTGTCACCACCAAAGCCAGCCAGTTCTCCAATACCTCAGCCGCAGTTGGCTGGGGCTAGTTCGCTGCAACGGGACGAATTCGCCACGTACGGCGAATACGTGGCCAATGAGATGCGTGCCATTACCGACAGGCAGGTCTTAATCGCACTCAAGCACAAAATAAATACAGCCATATTCGAGGCGAATATGGCAGAGTTGCAAAAATAAAAGTATCACCCATATTTGATGAAAATATGACGCCAGTTGGAGCTGAACGATACATACGGCCATATTCGAGGCGAAGTTGCGGAAATACAATTGACAGCCATATTTAATACGAATATGGCGGCCATATTTGATGTGAATATGGCCGAGTTGCAGGAATTCAGTTAAATAGCATATGGAAATATTATCAACGTTTTAGCAACAATTTAAATTAAGTTTCCAACCCCAGTAAATACAATTGTAAATCTATGTTGTAACCTGTAAATTTGACTTGAATTCACAATACAAAAATTTGATCAAAAAAGCCAAATATAACAGTTAGTAGAATTCTAATATATACATACACTGATCAACTAAATTTACACTAAGTAGGCGAAGATTCACATTTGAGAAACGCATATTATTTTTCTATAAATTTTGGTCAAAATGATTACAAATCCAATCTGCGAACCGTTTACAAATTTCCCAGCCCGATTTGATATTGAGAAAATTGCAGAGGAATTTAAGCCAAAGGATAAGGAAAAAGATGTTGAGAAGTCTCTTAGTCCGCGTGATTTTCTCAATGTTCCTGATAACGACTGGGTTGTGTTGCCCATGTTCAAATGCCACCTGGATCATTTGAAGCCAGTTCTTTCTGTGCGCAAAAATAAGTATATGCGTTGCCGTTACAGACAATTTCTGGACAACGTTCCCGAGCACTTTGTCAATGTGACATTGTATAGTGCAAATATAAACAAGTAGTTATTTTTATTTCCTTAAATAAAGAGACTCATAATTAATTATATATTTATTAGTCAGCCCAAGCCAAGACGAAAATCTCTTAATGGTAAATTTTATGGCGTGGACTTCAAATTGGCGCCCATACCCGTTTTAGTCGATCCACGCGCGACCGGCGGCTCCAAATCAATCAAATCTAAACATTCCAAGTAGTCAAATTCAAAATATTGCAGGTAAGCGCCAATAAGCTATCGCGCCATTGCTGTCACTATAAATAGTAATCGAACAGATACAGACTGGAGTCATCGGCAGATGTGCAACCCTGACACATTAAAGCTATGAGTGTTTGGCAACACTGCTCGATCAATTGAGACGAAAAATGTTTACAAAATGCATTAATTGTTGTGCTTCAATCATATTTTGTGTAATATTCGCATGCCTTTTGGTCGAAAACAGTGGCAAGTATCGCATTGAGGATAACTGTATTCTTTTTCATTCAAATAACGAATTGTTCCGTCCACAGTTGCCCTGAAACGGACACTACGCCACTACGAAGTTTTCCACAAAGATGACATTGTTCATCGGATTATCAAGAGGGGGGCTAAACAGAGCAGCAATCCATATAATACTATCAAAGAGCTGGAGTTTAAAACACTTGGGAAAAACTTCCGCGTGATTTTACATCCACATCGCGAAGTGCTGCACAGCAACTTTCGTGCCTATGCCGTGGATGCCGATGGCAACGAGACCGTTGTACACTTGGGTAAGCTAGCAATTATGCAGCTTTTGAGTGTCACACAATTGTGCAAATAATGTGATTTCAATTTCAGATCATGACAGCTTTTATACGGGTCGCGTGTTTGGCGAGTTGGAGTCGTCGGTGCGCGCGCATATTGAGGATGGTACCCTGACCATGTCCATAGAACTGCCCCAAGAAACCTACCACATAGAGCCTTCCTGGCGCCACTTGCCCACAGCCAAAAAGCATACGATGGTCGCCTACAAATCTTCCGATGTTAAACTCAATCATGCTGAACCGGGTGACCAGGTGCCCAAAACCTGTGGCTATATCAAAGAGGGTCTCGAGCTTGAGGCCAAGGACAATGAGGTGCACGCTCGCGAGAAACGCCAATCCGATCAATACGAGTACACGCCCACCAAGACGAGGTGTCCATTGCTGCTGGTGGCAGACTATCGTTTCTTTCAAGAGATGGGCGGCGGCAATACAAAGACAACTATCAATTACCTAGTTAGTGGAATTCGCCTTTCCCCTGCTCCTATTCATTTCGAATATCAATTAATTATCTTGCTTGTTGCTTTCAGATAAGCCTTATCGATCGGGTACACAAAATCTACAATGATACTGTATGGCAGGATCGCTCCGACCAGGAGGGTTTCAAGGGAATGGGGTTTGTGATCAAGAAAATCGTCGTGCACTCCGAGCCAACGCGCCTTCGAGGCGGCGAAGCTCACTACAATATGATACGTGAGAAATGGGATGTACGCAACTTGCTGGAAGTAAGTGTGATCTGCAATCCGTCCATTCGATTAATCCTTAACTTGTTTGTATAGCTAAAACTTGTATATATTGTTCTACTGCTAACTCTCTCTCATCTCTTGCTTACCTAACATTTCGATGGTGCTTTATGTAGGTCTTCTCACGGGAATACAGCCATAAAGACTTTTGTTTAGCTCATCTATTTACTGATCTCAAATTCGAAGGCGGCATTTTAGGCTTGGCATACGTCGGTTCACCACGCCGCAATTCTGTGGGTGGTATCTGCACACCAGGTTGCAAACCCCATCCGATCTATATATATACGCAAAATAATGTTTTTATCATTATCATTTCGCTTAGACCGCTTTATTTTATTCTATTCTTGTTGAGTTTCTTATTCTCTTTCTTTTTAATTCAGAAAATCCTTGCAGAGCATATTTTAGATATCGATATCGATGGTTAAATAGAGCGGCTTGATATTAATCCTGTCCAGTTTGTTTGCTCTTAAATCTCATCTGACCAGACTCGATTTTTCGCATCCAACTTAGATGTATTGCAGTTATCTCCAGCCATCCCTATCAGTATAATTAGCTATGATCTATACAGAGCGTTATAAATATTATTTTCCGATAACTCACTGCATAATTTGACAAATAATAATATAATATCTTTGAAATGTGCTCTGCGCAGGGTCCCGGGTAGCTGATAGTCGGGGAGCCCGACTAGAGTGTTCTTCGTTTGATATAATTTGGCATGATTTACTTTAGCTTATCCGGTTATCTTTAATATATACTAATTAATGTAATTTTCTGAACTATTCCAAGAATACTTCAAGAATGGTTATACACTCTATCTGAACTCGGGTCTCAGTAGCTCTCGCAATCACTACGGCCAGCGCGTGATAACGCGTGAGGCTGATCTGGTAACTGCTCATGAGTTTGGACACAATTGGGGATCGGAGCATGATCCCGATATACCCGAGTGCTCGCCCAGTGCCTCCCAGGGTGGAAGTTTTTTAATGTACACCTACTCTGTGAGCGGCTACGACGTGAATAACAAGGCAAGTGCATAGAATTTATATATGAAGCATTAATATATATATATAATAATGGTATATGTTTGTAGAAATTTTCACCCTGTTCGCTGCGTTCCATACGCAAAGTTCTGCAGGCGAAGTCTGGGCGCTGTTTCTCTGAGCCGGAGGAATCATTCTGTGGCAATTTACGCGTCGAGGGCGATGAGCAGTGCGACGCCGGATTGCTGGGCACCGAGGATAACGACTCGTGCTGCGACAAGAACTGCAAGCTGCGTCGCAATCAGGGCGCCATGTGCAGCGACAAGAACTCGCCCTGCTGTCAGAATTGCCAATTTATGCCAGCGGCCATGAAATGCCGCGAAGCTCAATACGCCACCTGTGAGCAGGAGGCACGCTGCACCGGCTCCCACGCCGAATGCCCCAAATCTCCAGCCATGGCCGATGGCACCATTTGCCAAGAACGCGGCCAGTGCCGCAATGGCAAGTGTGTGCCCTATTGCGAGACGCAAGGCCTGCAGAGCTGTATGTGCGACATCATCGTCGACGCATGCAAGCGCTGCTGTCGCATGAGCATCAATGAAACCTGCTTCCCAGTTGAGCCACCCGACGTCCTGCCCGATGGCACGCCCTGCATAACTGGCTTTTGCAATAAGGTACAGATATAAATTAGGGCTATGATTGCTTCGACTCTTTTGCAATTGTCGAATGAATATAGCTTCTGAGTTACTGAAACTAGAGCCGAGTCTGCACTTTCCTCATCAATGAACCTATATATCTTTTTTCAGGGTGTTTGCGAAAAGACCATTCAAGATGTAGTTGAACGGTTTTGGGACATTATTGAGGAGATAAACGTAGCCAAAACGTTGCGTTTCCTCAAAGACAACATTGTCAGTAAGTAAATGTTACGATAGCCTTATAAATAGGTATATATATATGTATATTTACGACTTTCTTGCAGTGGCTGTTGTCATGGTTACGGCTGTCTTCTGGATACCCGTTAGCTGCGCCATTTCATATTTTGACCGTAAGAAGCTGCGTCACGAAATGAAACAAATCGAATGGAGCCACAAATTAGATCTCATTCATCCCAGCGACGAAAGGCGTCGTATCATACATATACGGTGAGCTGATCTATATATTCTATATGCCAACTATATATAATTAAACGATTCTCTGTGCATTTGCAGCGTACCGCGACAGAAAATCTCAGTAGCACGCGCTTGTAATTAACATAAAATATATGGTGGCGGACAATTGTTTTATCTTCCGTGAGCATTCTTCTCAAAACTGCCACAATTATTTATATAAATTAAGTATAACATTTAAAGAATATGAATAAAATTCCCAATAATATAGACCAATACAAAAATGTCATATGCAAATATTTCATGTCCTAAGGTTTCCCGATAACAAATCATTACAATCTTGAATTTAGCTATGCAAAAAATGCATATTATAATATATATAGACTGTACAATACAATTAATGAAACATGAATTCAGTTCGATGTGTTTTGGATTGTTTTTGTTTATTCATACTTTACCAAAAATATGTTTCTTTCAGTTTTGCTGCATTCTGTTATTAATTATGATTGTTTTTTCTTTCCTTTTATATAGTTTGTATATTAGCTTAATTTCTTGTTACTGTGTATTACTTCTTTTTATTGCTCTTGCCATTTGTCTGTGGAGAGCAATCGTCCTCAGCCTCCAGCTCGCTGTCATCTTCATCATCCGAATACTCCTCGTACATTTGACCATCGTCATATTCACCCAAGTTCATTTCCGCCTTAAGGAAGAGATATAATTTACTTTTTGGAAAATTACAATTACATTTACACGTTTACCTTGCCGCACACATAGACCGGCCCCGTGCCCTGGACAAGCTTAAATGTGACGGATCCATTGGGGAATTCAACATTTGGTCGCAAGCTGCGAGTTTCTCCAACCTTCAGAACGGCGATGGGAATTTTGACTGTCTTCTTTTCGCCGTCGTCGTTCACGTTCGTTTCCGCCTGTAAATGTGCGAGTAATTTTGTGTTATACGATATTAGAGCACTACCTCTCACAGCCGCTCAGCCCCCTTTTGACCAGACAAAGCTCTATCAAAGTGTTGGTCAGTGTTTTTCCATACCTGAACGACGTTGAATTCGCCGGACTTCGCCTCAGGTCCCAGGGATATCTGTTTGATGATCAGCTTGTGTGAGTGCACAATATACTCCTCTGGAATTTCTGGCACATCGAATTGTGCAATTGGCTCCTTTTCACTGAGGGTAACACCTAAAAGAATAATAGCCGTTAAATATACGTACATATACATATGCTTATATGTATTTAGTCTGCCGGTAGTGCTGTGTAAGCCAACTATTGCATTCAGCCCCTCACCGCTGGTAGACTTAAACAAATATTTTATATTCATTACCGTAAAAAGACTCGGACTCCATTTGTATACTCGTAGACACGTTCTTGTACAGTCCAATTAAAAAGTTTACGAAAACTCTACTTTTCACACGTGCCCCGTGCAATGGCGATAGCTAAAGAGTCAAACGCGGCTGGAATGATGCCTGGCATTCATCGATGATACCGATATAATCAGCCGCCGATAATCCTTGTTTATTCGAACTATTTACTGAATATTTTAAACATACAAATTTATTCAGTTTTATCATATAATAAGGTATAAGGTATAAGATATCCTTTCATTGAATAAAAAAGCAATAAAGAAATAACTACGACCACTGACCAGACAGTGCTACGACTGAATCTTGCCGTTAATACCAATAGGTCTGGTAACGCCAAGAATGGCGAGCACATCTCTATCGTGAGTTTCATCCCTAATTAGTAGCTACCATTTTGCAAAAGTTTTTGCTCAACACGTGCTCGGCGCTTGAATTTTAGATTTTAAACTATATCAAATAATTGCAATGGCAGAGGAATCATTCTATGGTAAATATAAATTACTGGCGAGCGACTTGCGTATTATGTGAGCGACTGCAATTGGACTATATGCACCGTGCAGGCCTGTGTTGCCGGCTGCCGGCATTTTTATTCAAGGTTGCGGATGTTCGTGAGTGTGTGTGTGTGTTCATTGATGCATATGTGTGTGTGCATATAGCATGCATAAACGAGAATAAATTGTCTCTGTGTGGTTAAACGTTTAAGTAGTTGTAATTTGATTTTTTCTAAATTCACAAGTAATATGTTCGATTTCATTAGGTGTTACCCTCAGCGCGGAAAACAACAGCGTCACTTGGGACGTTGTAGCCGACGAGGACTATGCACGAGGCCAGAAGCTGGTTATCAAGCAGATTCTGTTGGGCGCCGAGGCAAAGGACAATGAATTCAACGTGGTTGAGGTAAGTGCGCCAGTGCAAATCGAATATGTGTGTGTAAGAGCAAGTATATGTGTGTCCGTCTGAATATGAGTGTGTGTGTGCGTGTCTGTGAATCTCTTATTGAGTTTGGGCATGGACCAGACCGGTTTGAATTCTTTAAGCACGCGCAACATTTTGCCGTGGGCAAAGGGTAATTTTGTCTGTATCTGCAATACGCGCCCTTTGTCTGTTATCGTTGTTTGCATATATGTGACGTCATAAATGCCCGAAAGTCTGCTTTTGCCTACAATCTAGCTTCGAATACCCTCTAATCAAATGTAGCTGAATAGGGTTGGCTATGTTCACATCAAGAAATTCATAAATTAGTACTATATAAAATTAATAATACGCAAGTTATTTCCTAATTTATCAAGAGTATAGATCTTTTGTTGCAAATATATTTATGTACTTAAACTATTTATAAATAATGCCTTAAGACATTTCCAAGTAAACTTCGGGCTTATCTGATATAAAGTACTTGTAGCACACATAGCTCGTATCTGTCAGCTTTTAGCACTTCGCATAGGGTATTTTCAAAGCCAACTACTTGCCATTCGCATAATGTAACTGTACAAAACAAAGCACATTTCAATATTGACTTAAGCGTCATGAAATTTGATCAACTGGACTGCTTCCAGTGTGACTGTGGTTGCCGTTGCTATTGCTGTAGTTCTTGTTGTCACTCTCACTCTTGCTGTTTCCATTGGCCACCATTTCTAATAGCTCGGAAAAGTTTTTGGTGAATCTGAACATGTTGCGAGCCTTCCTCTGCAGTCGGCAAACGACACCCGCCGCTGCCATATTCCAATTCCAGCAGATAAGCTCGCACTGCAGCTGCTTCAGATCGTCCCGCAATGATACCAGATTCTAAATAGCAAAAGTCAAATTTTATATTAATGAATGGTAGTCATATATCATGTCTAAAAGTCTACTTACCAGCGCAACAGTTGAATCGATTGAGCCAATATTCGAGCCTTTGATGATCACCAATGAAACCGTTTTCTCCATCATTGTCTTCTGCTCCGTCACGAATGCCACGGTTTTTATATTCAAAGACTCCGCTGCCGTATAGTCCACGTTACCCTTTAACTCAGCCACGCATAGTTCGAGACCGTTATGCTATTTGGTTTAGAGGAATAGGTAAAAAATTGAAAGTGAAATGGCGAATCACTGCATTTTGCCATATTTAATTTTACCTTTTGGGATTCAAGCTGAAACTGTGGCGTCATGCTCTTGCTCAGTATGAAGAGCGCATTGATTAGGACGCCCACCAGCATGCCATACTCCAGGGACCAGAACAGACAGCAAAGCACGGTGAACACAAAAGGCACCATGTCGCGTTCTATGAATAGACAGGAATGGAAATTAAACATTTTGTTAGAAATATCGACTAAATTAATGGTAGACATTTATAAACTTGGTCAGAATCTGTATATTGCTGCATACATACTCTCCCAATCGGTGTCTACTTACTCTTCGCACGCCAGATCTCAGCTATTGTGTCGTACTCCACCATAAACAACATGGCTGAGATGATGATGGCTGCCAGCGTGGCTTTGGGCAAGTAGGCGAAGACCTGGGTCAAGAAGGCGAGAGACAAGAGTATCAGAATACCCGTGAAGGCACCGCCCAGTGGGGTTTTGACACCGCTCGCATTGTTGATTGCCGATCGAGCAAAGGATCCCGTTATGGGTATCGATGAGAAGAAACTGCTGAAGAGGTTGCAAAAGCCCAGCGCAATCATTTCCTGTGAAGCATCCACAATCTTGCCCTTAGCTGCAAATATAAAGCATATGATAATAATATATATTATATAACATGTTGGGCTTACGTACAGAATGCTTTGGCAATTGAAACAACTTCCAATATGCAGAGTAAGGGTATTGTGCCCACGGCGCTGCCCAAGTTCGATATCATCTCGCTAAAGCCAACAGTCTGACCCTCTTCGTCTACGGTTTCGAATGGCGGTGCACGAAAAGGTGGTAAGCCCGGCGTGATTTGCTCGCTGATGCGAAATGGCATCTCCTCGCGCTCACGACTCATCAGATAGCAGATCAGAATGCCGATGATGACGGCCAGGACGTTGCGACAGAGCGATAGATATTTAAGCACCGATTGACAGCCGCAGGACTTCAGATCCTTAAGTTTCTGTTGGCATTTAAATAGAATTGATTGGCATTATCATTAAACATGATCCATGAGCAATCCCAAACTTACCCTCATGAACAGCAGCAGAATCAGTGTGCAGCAGCCCAGTAGCGCATCATTCAGTCGCGTCTCTTGTATGTGACCAAAGAAGTTAATCCACGACTTGAGAAACTCATTCGATTTGCTTTGTATCCCAAAGAGATTGTTGATCTGACCGCTGCCCACAGTCAAGGCGGCTGCCAAAGTAAAGCCCGCTATCACAGGTGCCGAAATGAAGCGCACCAGCACGCCGAGATTCAGAAAGCCCAGGACCAAAACAATGCAGCCCGTTAGAAAACATATTAGGACGGCATAGTCCGGATTGCCGGCAACATGTGGATAGACCATCATAGATATTATGGCTGTGGGACCTGTTTATTCGTTGAAATTAATTAATATATTAAGATAATACAATTTCAAAACTATAATCATATTACCCACCCACATTGATTGGGACCTTTTTTGGACTCTTATATCGACTTGTTTAACTCTACTCTACTAATTGTTAACTCACCCACTGTAACGTCCTTGCAGGAGCCGAAGATGATGTAGAGAAAGCAGCCCATAAATGATGAGTATAGACCATAGACCGGGGGTAGTCCAGCGACGGCACCATAGGCTATGGCCTGAGTCACAGCCGTTAGGCCGACGGTCATACCCGCTACGAAATCGACGATGAGGGTTTTCAGGGTATATTCGGGCAGCCAAGTCAAAATTGGTAGCTTGCGCTTGACAGTATTTATGCTGCAACAGGTTTTCGACTTTTCGCGCACAGCTCCGCATATGTTTGGCAGGTGCTCGTGATAGAGCTCATCTGGATAATAGGACACGTGGGAAGAGAGAGAGAGAGATGGCATTGAGGGAGTAGTACTTGAATATTGATTAAAAGCCGCAAATGATTTTGCCACGCTCGCTCGCTTCGCCTTCTTATCTAGTTGACAATGTTTTAATAATATTTATTGAATTTCACTTTAATCGAACTGAAGTGGGCCACACCATGTTCAGTTTAGCTCTACCGTCTACCTTCTGACACAAATTAAAGATCCTCAGTGCTAGATTGAGATTTGCCGTATATCAGTATCAATTCCGATGAAATATTGGTAAAATTCCATTGACATATTATTTATGTTATTTAGGGTCCTAATCGATTTAGATAATGTTGTGGGCGCTATCAATACTTGAGGAAGCTAGTAATATATTTTCTTGAACGTTACAATCGGAACAAAGGATTAATGTTGTATATGATAGTAATGTAATCTACTGTTAAGTGCTTTCAATTAATATTATTCAAATAATTCTTTCGGGTAGAAACAACCATTTGAGTAGGAGTTTGACTGATATATAGCACATTAGCTTAATAATATTTCCCTGACTACTGCTTATAGAGCTTAAGACTTGAAACTTAGGCAAATATTTATTAACTCAACGAAATTTTTAAATCAATACTAAATAAATATCAGTTTTCAGTTTTTTCTGAAATGCTTTATTCACTTAAGTTGAAAATCGATAATGGGATCGAAAAATAGATTGAAAATCAATGTCAGATCCTTATGGTTTTTATATGGAGCCACCTTAGGCATAAACAGATATCAATTGTCTTCATTGTATTTTGTAAATAATTTTTAGATAAAGTGATATCTTAATCATTATTGAAGGATTTCGTAAGTGATATCACACATCTTGGTTATATTTAGGGAACTTTTTATATTCATATTGTGGAGATTGATTGTACGTCAATAATTGATATATGTATTTCTTTCCCGTAATATTTGCATTATCAATTAGCAATATATCCCGTTTTTTTAGAAAGCTGTTGGCTAATTTGGAGTTGATTTTAATTGAATTTCTATTTTGCACTCTTTAACAATTATAGCGCACTTATCAAATATTGGAACGTACCGTCATAGTCACACATATTTGTGATTTGCACCGTTATATTTTGTACTTTACGCGTTTCTCTCGTCGGGTACTTCACACTGAGTGGATTTTTATTAGAAACTGTTCGACAAGTTGTTAAGAAGAAAGCACGTGCTTTCCGATTTGTGGGTACTCAAGTGGAAGATTGTGGAGGAATTGCTTTGCGATGTTGTCTCTGCCAACGCAGAGCGTCGAATGCTCGACAAGGTATCATTGCTCCCGTATATAGGTCTATTGGGCTACGCCTACGATTTGTATCTCTGTGTTTTGTTTTTTAAGTTCTGGTTATCTCAGTTTTTCAATGTTGCTGCAAGCGATTGAAATCAGTTAACGCCGGCTATACATAATGTATATGACAGCAGGTGTTGACATTCTTACGCTGATGAGCAGTGGGAGGGGAGTTGGAGCGTGATTTTGATTGACAGGTCAGAAGTCTTATCGATCCTAGTAGCGAAGTTCAAATACCCTGGCAGGCAGACGATGCAGCCTTGCGATATACATGAACTACTCCATTATCAAAGCATACATAAATACATTAATTAGGCACGTAAGAGACGTGACGGATAGCTTAATGCACTTCCACTTCTAAGCCCTAGTTTATTTTTGATTGCCATGCACACATTCAATCTTAGGGATGATAGGTGTAGAGCTTTAAAGGAAGTAACAGTTAAGTGACACTCCCCTAACAGGCAGAGGCATCTCGCATTGTTGTGAACGATGATATGATTAGCTTACTTACTTACCCCTTACCCCTATTAACTATAGCTGCATTAGCTTGTGTTACTCCAAGCTAATATGCTCTGCTCTCTCTGTTTGGAAAGAGTATATTAAATGACTTGCCTAATGCAGCCAAAGCCTATCTATAAATCGCATATCTCAAAACTTGGCTAGAATTAATTCCAGTCAACTGGAATTCCCCAACTGTCTCGGCACTCGCTTATCTGTATATTACTAATTCTCTCCGTCTCCCTCTCTGTCTCAACAGGTGACCACGATGAAGGATTCTGTACAGATTCCCATAGCCGTGTTGAAGGCTGGCGAGACACGAGCCGTCAATCCCGACGTTGAGTTCTACGAATCAAAGGTGACGTTTAAGCTAATTAAGGGCAGTGGACCCGTCTATATCCACGGCCAGAACATCAAGGACGACGTTGAGGTTGTGGATATGGAGGAGGAGGACGATGAGGACGATGGCGAGGACGATGAGATTGAGCATCCAAAGAAGCGCGCCAAAATCGAGCCCAACGCCGACGGCAAAAACGCCAAGAACCCGAAAAAGAAGTAAATCGCAAGCAATGAAGACGAGGAAGAAAGAAGTCTCTAAGCTAAATCTGTAGATTTTAAACGTGTTTTAGGCCCTATAAACAATATACAATTACAATACATAACATAAAACCATACGATACGATATGTAAAACTTGCAACATATATATTACAACCTACTATTTAGTTCCTTTCTCTGAGATTCTTAAAATCAGCAACATTCAATTCACGCACTAAAGTACTATAACTACTGATGATGTATACAGACGACCGACTAACACCTATCCAATAAGCCAAGTTATGTAAACAGAAAACTGAACTCCAGCGACTAGTGGGCGCTCCTTGAAGAACATATATTTGTATATAAGTACTTTACAAAACGATTATTACTTCAGTCCCAGATGCGCCTTGAACGCTGGCCTCGATTTTTATACATCAACAAAGGAAATAAACAGAAACTAAAAAAACTAAACTGAACGAAGTTTTGATTAAATAGTTGGCGCCATTTATCGCTCACGCTGCAAGTATTTTGAGATTAAATTGAAAAACTTAAGTTGACTGTTAGATACCCTAACAGTGTCTACTATATGCAGCAGCATGCTGAAATGAAATTGAATTGCGCTTTATAAGAGCTATCCGACTAAGAGATACCCTACCTTTGGAGAATGGAACACTTTCTGCAGCAACTTGGAAACGTTATATAGATCTCAATTAGGAAACCAACAAAAGATATTCTTTGTGTACTGTAAATATCATTTGAAAATACTACGATACTACAAGAAAACCAGAGTTGTGCAATAATTTATATTTCTGAGCAAACTGCATTCACACATTCATACCCGCATCTGAATTCTGATTTAGAATACAAATATATATGATGTTTTAGGAGATCTCGACCAGGCTGAATGAAAAATATCCGCTTACAATTTACAAAGTTAACATTTCCTTTAATGATTTTCACTTAGTTGATTTTCTTAGCCATACAGATGAAAAGTTCCGGATGTAGAAAATTGAATGTCTTTAGCCATTCTAATTTCATATTCAAAATATCTTCAGCCAGGATTAGACGTTGCACTAGCAGTTGCAATTGCTGTTCCCGTCGCGGCTTCCATTAATTGCGGTGTTTGGGGCTGTGAGGCTTAGGCGGGACTGGGCATCACCTTAAGCCGCTCGAAGGCTGCCTTCTCCAGCGCCTCGCGGTGCTTAGGGTCGGCGACCTGAATCAGTTCGTACATGCGCTGGCGCACATTCTTGCCAAACAGGGAGGCAATGCCGTGCTCGGTGACCAAGTAGTGCACGTGAGCACGAGAGGTAACAACGCCAGCTCCTGAGGGATTAGAAATTGGAGAAAAGGGGGCATTAGCTTGATGATTGTGGCCTCTGCGGACTTGACTTTACCTGACTTAAGTACTGGCACAATCTTGCTCTCTCCTTTGTTGGTAGTCGATGGCATCGCTATGATTGGCACGCCCAAGCCATCGAGGGCTTCCGCTGCACCGCGAATGAAGTCCACTTGACCGCCGAATCCTGAATAGAAGCGTGTGCCAATCGAATCCGAGCACACCTGGCCAGTCAAGTCCACCTCGATGCAGCTGTTGATGGCCGTCATGCGGGGCTGCTGCTTGACGATGCTCGTGTTGTTCACATAGTCAATGGCCAACATCTCTGCAAAGGATTACAACGGATTAGGGTCTCTATATAGCCAATAGGAGTTCAGCACTCTACCGATGAAAGGATTATTGTTGACAAAGTCGTAAAGGGCCTGATTGCCGATCAGGAAGGAGCCAACGATGCGACCCTTGTGCATACTCTTTCTGCTGTTGGTCACGCAGCCTTTCCTGACCAGTTCGACAACGCCGTTGGCGAACATCTCGGAGTGGATGCCCAGATCCTTGTGATTGTGCAGTGAGTTCAGCACAGCGTCCGGAATGTTGCCAATGCCCATCTGGAGTGTGGCGCCATCCTTCACCAGGTTCTCGGCAATCAATTTACCAATCTTCTGCTCCACCTCCGACAGCTCGCCGGTGCCGTGCTGAGGAAGTTTGTCGTCCACCTGGATGGCGAAATCGAAGTGCGACTTGTGGATGATGGAGTCGCCAAAGGTGCGAGGCATATTGGGATTGATTTGAGCTGCAAGCAGAGGGCATAGCATACAGGTAAATATATGTATATACCTACATATGTATATGGTAGGTATGATTTCCTTACCAACAATCATCTTGGAATGCAGCAACGCAGTGCGAACACAGTCGACGCTGGTGCCCAGCGAGCAGAAACCGTGGTTGTCTGGCGGCGACACGTGGATGAAGGCCACATCGGGCTTCACCAGTTTCTTGGAGAAGAGCAAAGGAATCTCATGCAGAAAGATATGCATATTGTCGCCACGCCCCTCGGCAACGGCCTTGCGGACATTTCCGCCCATGAAGAAGGAGTTCGAGCGGAAGATGCCCTCGTACTCGGGCTTGCAGTACTCGGCGGGTCCCTCCGTATGCATATGGCACACCGTCACGTTCTCCAGTTTGTTGCACTTGCCGTGCTGTGACATTGCATTCAGCAATGCCACAGGCGTGGCAGCAGCACCCTGCGCGAAGACGGTGTCGCCTGTAAAGCAAATGGAATTCATTAGAATGCAAAAGTTTATGTGTGATTGAGATTGATTGAATGCATTCGAAGGTCTCGAAAGGCTTAAGTCATAATAGTAAACTATATCCCCTCTAATCCAATTTACTTGATTGATCGATAGCCTGATTAATGTTTATGATAACTAATAACCAAATTGACTGATAGATTGATTATCGCTCTTGACAATGGTACAAGGACTGGATGCTTCACAAAATAACTGTAACATCATACTATGTGTGCCGAATTTACTTAGCAAGACATTTTATTATTTACGACTGATTTTAGCTCTGATTGACTAGTTGATTACCGTCTTAGTAGCTATTTATCTTCAATGACTCTTTTGATGGCTCGCTTAGAATTTCCTTAATGACTTCGTTCATGCGTATACATATTTCAGAATTTGAATGAATAATGAACTTCAATTATATACATACATAGTCTGAGCTAGATTTTTAATGCGCTGATTGATGAATTTGTAATTTGAGAATTATCATAGTTTAATGGCTAAATAAATTTATGATTTCATAAACACATTCTATAAATGCGAAGTTATTGAAGAACTGATAAAGTGCACTTCTTCAATTAACCATTTGATCTAGGAAGCACCACTTTTACTTTTAGTCAAATTTAAAGAGTGCGCACTGTACTTGATACGACTAGTTGGCCTTGCTAATCATCCTAACGATCAACGAACTTACAGTATATGCAGAGATACACACAAACACATATACACGTGTATATGTATGTTTGTAAAGCTGAAGGCATGCCAATTTTCTATTTATATGGCGCCCTACGGATGCAAAATTCTGTCAAAACGTTTCGCTTCCTTATTTTTGATATCTTGGGCCAACAAAAAAAAGAAAGTGTAAGCGTGTGTGTGTACTCTGCATGTATACATCTATTCAAATATACATTTAGATAAACTACAAGTGCTTGATAAGAATAACAAACACCATTAATATTTAATAAGCCGTTAATGTTTGTTCTCTCTCTCACATTACCCAAGCTTATCGAATAAACCCCGCACGCATGTCATGCAATCGCCTACATAACAACTGCGTACCTGCCTCAAAATGTTATCGAACCAAACGACGCCGCGTAACGCCAAAAAATAAAAAGAATTCAAAATGACAACAAGAAAAACTTTTCCAAACGATATGACGTAGTTGATTTAGCTTTGCTCGTGGTGTGCCAATTGATCTAAATTTAGAACGCCAGTGCTAACCGATGTTAGATCGCAAATGGAAGAAGCAGAAAAACAGTTGAATAGCGAGTTAAACAATATTAGTTTAAAACGTAAATAAACTGTACATCTTTGCAGAGGGCGTGACAGCTTGAATAACTAGTTTAATTAGGATTGATAATATTTTTCTTCTTCTGTTAGCTCTTGCGCAACTTGTCGATTGAAATTAATTGAATCAATGCTAAATTAGTATGAACAATTTGGCAATTTATTTCGTATGGGGAGCTGTATGTTATCAGTGCTATGGCACCGCCCACATGGAAGCAGCCAATAAAATGCTAATGCGAATGCGAATGCCGCAAAGCAGCAACTTCTGATGTTGTTGCATAATGTTCGACATGCATATGTACATTATAGCGGTTTCGTATATTTATGTATTAATATTGTTCTTATCAGCACAGCTGTTAACTGCCAGCCAAGACGCGCGCGACTGTGTTATGTATGTATGTACATGCTTCAATAAATGTATGTACGTGTGTGCGTGTAAGTGTTTCTCTTTGCGTGTGTGTGCGTCTTAAAGTTGAGCTTCTCTCGAAGAGAGCTGAACAGCTGGATACGGTACAAAGTACACGCCACTATTCAATAGTATACAACACTGTTTTCATATAACAAAAGAAGAACAACAACTGCACCTCCTATCTGCTGATCTACAGTGGAATTATGCATACATTATGTATAGATTAGAATAGTGGATTTTGCATACGTGGGGGTTGGTCATAAATTACTGATATGGACATCGTCTAATCGTAGGACTAATCACGGTCAATTGATTTCTATATGGCCGCTGCTACTGAGCACCCTGTAATTGTCCACTTAATATGTTTATGTACTTAAGCACGCACATATTCACACAGACAAATATGTAAATAGTTTAGATTTACAAGCCCCACACAAACAAAACACACACACACACATGCGCGCACATACATATTTATAATAAAATTTGCATGTGATAGTGACAACCCCCACGGCCCTTTGGCTGTTCGCATTTTCATTCTGTTTTTCTAAGCAGTCGAACCAGAGCGCAGTAGTGTGTCGTGTCGGTGGGGGGAGGGAGACAGCAATCACGGTAGTTGCTGCCGCGTTACATAACACTGTCGATTTTATCACTTCGCTATGTTTTGGCACTGAGTATGGGCTGAAATTGGTCATTGTGGACGGCAGCAGATAGTCGCTAGTCGACTTACCAGACTTGATGCAGGCCACAGCTTCCTCGGGCGACACAATTGGCGGCTCGCGTGGCAGCGGATGCGACAGCTCATTCACATAGGTGAAGTAGTTGTTGTGCGAGCCTACGGCGGCGTTCGCAGCGGGCATGGACAGCAGTTTTTTCATTTGACGAACATTTCGGATCAGTTGTTTGCTCATGATTGCACGATTAATTAATTACAAACACACTGGCACAAAGAGAACGCAGGCCTTTCCTTAAGGTAGTGATTGGAAATCTGGTTTATACTGCTCGCCCAGAACAATTCTTATTGTGTCTTGCCGCTCCAGCGGTGCGATTACAACTAGCCAAAAGCGCGAGCTTTACCACACCGCAAAAGCTCTTCAACAGTGGACTATTTGAGTCGTCTCCTGCATCGGATGGAAATTTTGAATAGGGATTCCAAAAAAATATTTACATTTCTGGTTATGGTACACGACAACAAATAAAAATAAAATTAAAGCATTTTTAAAATTATTTTTATTTATTTTGTATTTTGGTTTTGCCAAGCGATATGAATTGTAAGTCAATTCATGACGTTGCTCAGCACTGAAATGTGAATGACATTTGATTGGGTGCGCGCTAAAATTCAAAACTTGTGGAGCCTTCTATTGAGCCAAATTTCTGTCGCGATTAATATAAGAAATTAAGTCAGTAACAAATCTTTATTAGGAAAAACATATGCTCGTTTCTTTTTAATAAATTACTTTTATTTTTGAGTTGAACATTTTTTATTTCACTTGTATTATGAATGTTTTATTTCTATTTTAACATAAATATTTTAAGCAAATGAAAAAAATGTATTGTAGAATAATGTGTTTGAATTTAATTAGCGTTTGGTTTATTATATTATAAATTCTAGAGATAAAAGCGCCCTTTTGACTAACAATAAAATTAACAAATTATACACATAAATTTAATACTTATCGATTATTATTTTATGTATTAAGAGAACTTATGTGAAAAGTAAAAACTATACAACAGAGTTGGAACTATTTACATGCTTTATATTAGTATCTAAAAAATCTGTATTTAAATTTGTATATATGTATATCATTTATAGATTTCTGCGTATTATTCAGAATACATTGTGTTCGTATATGACTAGCTAATGCATTATGGTTTCTTTAGTTTTGTTCTTCTCAAAATTTGACTTCGGCACATTTGGGGGGATACATGTATATGTATATATAAAGAGTTTACATATTTATTAGGATCTCATGCTTGTTATATATATATATAATATATAGGAAACGCGAAATGAGTGTTTTTAAGGGACTTGGCTTTTATTCAATTTTGGACGGACCCTAAATAAAAGTGAAGTAAAGAGTAATCTAGTCGGGCGAGCTGGACTAGCTAATACCTAAACTAGAAAATAACGGCACAATTTAAAATTTCAATAGTTTTTTGTTTAAACCTATATATCATTGTTGTGCTGCACTGAAATTTTGTTGTATGCGTATAAAAATTTCGAATAGATGCGAATTGCGTTGATTGCGATTTCGAGTAGTTGTTAAAGTTCTTTGATCTTTCAAATGGGGTTCTTGGTTTATATATAGTGTAAGAGTTAGCGCTACTTAAAATGATTTACTACGTAACTATAAGCTAATAACTAAGCTAATTTTCTATGATTAGAATCTTTGTTGGTTTTTTCTTTTTGGTGATTTGCAGCTTTATCTCGTTGGCAACGTCATGTTGAGGCAGAGATCGTGATCGCGTAAATCGCCCCAGCCGCCGTTGCCTTTGCGTAGCTTCGATTTCTTGATCAGACTCGGCACCGTCATTATCAGCGAGCGCGGGAAGAGCTGATGGGAGTTGCGTGCAATGCGCAGCACATGTTGCACCTTGGAAATCACCTGATTGGATTCGCAGTTCTTGTTCTTGTGATGAACGCCGCTGTCATAAATGATTTAAAGTTGTTAATAGTTCATACTTTCTCTCTCTTCATACATACCACTCGCCAATGTGAAAGACTCGCGGTCCCTTGACAATCATTGCGTGCAGCTTCCTCTGCATGCACTGCTGGGACACATGCTGCAGCGACCAATCCCAGTTGTAGTCATCGTAGCTGCAGAAGTGTCGAGCGCAGCGTCTAATGCTTGTCCAAGTGGTACGATTGAAGGCGAAGCCCATGTTATGCTTACTGCTGATCCACGGCATGGACTCGACCTGAGGAGAGGGAACATGTGAAAGTGAAACGGGCATTAGTGACAGTCCCAACAATTGAACTCAACTCACAGCGAACAGTGGAGCAAGTAAGATTTTGTGGGCATGCAAATTTCTATATACATACATCACAAATATATAAAGCCATCGTAAACAATATACAAATATACATTTTTATTTATGCTCCTTCTAATAGGCCCAATACACAGTGCATGGGGATCAGCATAGCCAGGCTTGCAATGCTTGCGATGAATGCAGGGTGCATGAGGCCATCTCTAATAACTGTTATTGTCATTATTGAGTAATTTTTAATTTGCATATATTTTGTAAAAACGATTAACGATATATTTAACGTTTACTACCTTGCGATAGTCTTGGACGATGCTGCGCATATCGAGCTTGGCGATGCGTACGCGGGCGCGCAACTGAGTACATGTGGGTGTATATGTTTGTATGTGTTTGTTTGTAGAATTTAACGGCATGCCACAATAGACGTAAACACACAGAGATACATTGAAAGAGAGAGAGAGAGACAAAGAGAGCCAAGCACACATACACAGAATAATAACATAAAGAGAAACCACAATAAAGTTAAGTATAAACAGAATGAAGTAGTAACAGTAACATGCATTAAGTAACATGCCAATAGAAAAGCCAAAACATAAACAAATTGTGCTCTCTACTAACTAGTATAAGCAATGATGGAATGTGCTGAATTCGCATTGAATTCTAATTTAAGTATATATATTTGTATATTAATCGGTTTTTTTATGGAAGATGGTGCTACCTTCTGATAGACGGAATACAATGACGGCAGTACATGATAATTCCAAGTTTGTGCACCATTCTTATTGCTATTATCATTGTTATTATTATTATTATTATTGGTGTTGGATGTGGCGGTGACAGTGTTCATGTGACTAGTTCTTTTATTGTTCATCATTTTATTATTCTTATTATTATTGTTATTGTTATCAACGTCTGAGGTGTCGCCCACATAGACCTTGGCGTTCTTTAATGAAGTGCTGGATGATAGCGCTGATGAGGACGCAGTTAATTGCTGTGAATTTCTATTATTATTATTGTTATTGTTGTTATTGTAATTGTTCCTATTTGATCCTAATAGACTGTTTGACGAGATCAGCGAGGAAGCATACGATTTTTTGTTAGTCTGCATCAAGTAGAGAAGAACGCAGAGAGATAAGATGATATTTAGATACGATTATGAATTGCAGGGTGTACATGTTTGTGAGTGTGTGTGCGTGTGTGTAGGAAAACTTTATAGATTAAAGTTAACATACATATGTACAACATACATATTTAGAGTAAAATGAGTTACATTGAGATGTACTTATGTATGTATGTATACAGCTATGTATGTATGCGTGTGAGTATGTATGCGAAAAATATAGTAGTAGTAGTTTAGTTATTCAAATTACTTTGCTGATTAATACATAGATCCATATATTGCTATTATATTTATCGCCACAGTATGTGTGTGTGTGAAGTACAGTGAAAGCTCTACAAACGAACAGTCTTAAGTGCCTAAGTTAGTCGAATAGCTAACTAACTACTAGGACATAAATATACAAAATGCTTGGAACATTTCTACTTCTGTGTTCGCTCCAACGAGCTTTCACTGTAACCAATTCAAATGTTTACCTATTGCTTGACATGATGTGTACATTAAATGTTTAAACAGTTTGTATTAGGTTAATAACAATTATATTGGCATAAGCGTGGGTATTTGCTTTTGGTTCTTGTTGGTTTTTCGTTCTTTTGTTAAGAAACAAAACGTAAATAAGAAATTGAAATGTTTCATATTGAAGCAGTTTTAGATTCTGTTGTTGTTGTTTTTGTAATGGTGGTTGCTGAGCGACTAAGCGACTAACGACAATTTCGTAGCCAAGACAAAGAAGCACAGAGAGATGTGAGGCATTATGATGCACTGAGTCGGCTCTCACCTTGCTGTGGTACGTATAGTAGTTGAATGTCTTTAGATAGGTGCCCAGCGAAAGGATATTGCACTGCGGGCACAAGTCTTTGGTGCGCTGCTGCATCATGGCCAGCAAGTAGAGAAAGTCCTCGGCCACATAGTGATCCTCCTCCAGGAACAAAACGAGACCTAAGCCCAAAATAGAATTCAATGAATAAGCCATTTAGTTGTCACTTGAGCCGTGGCTAACCGGTGTGAAAGCGCGTCACTTCCAGCTCGTTGAAGACTCGATTCGCCTTCCACCACCAGTGGTGCTTCGTCTGCGTGAACTTGGCCTCACGGTAATGGCCATAGAGATCGGGATATAGAGCATTGTTGCAGTTGCTGATCAGAGCTCTGGAAAGGCAACCGGCATTACGAATGGAATTCATTTGGAGTTTGCACTCGGCACTCACTGCTCCTTCTTGATGTTCCTGGGGCAGTCGTTGGGATCGACGCCGGGAAATTCGTGCGGATGCGTCTGTATGGAGTACGGATAGAAGATCTGCAGCACCTTGCAGAAATCGATTTGCTGCACCAGATCGTTGATGTCGTCGTCGTAGAAGTCGTGCGAGAAGATCAGCAAAGATTTCGAGATGTCGCGCGCCTGCGCCAGGCTCACAATCAGATGGCGCAGGTAATTGATGCGCGTGTGCACCTGGAAAGCAACATGTTGTACTGATTACTAATCACTATCGATCCTTCACCATCGATCAATCACGCACCTGCACGACAATTATCACAGAATCGTTTTGCAGCGGCCCGAATGTCTCCTCATTGAGCACCAGCTGCATTTCGTTGTATCTCACTATCTGACGCTTGATCTCAGTGTTGTTCGGCGGCCGATAGACCTCGAAGCTGATGGTTGTCGCCGCTCCATTGCCCGAGCCGCCCGACGAAGACCCACTGCTATTCAGCTGGAGACCTGTGCAAAGAATCAAGTGTAATTGAAAATGTATATGAATGATTGAGATGCGTGTTCTCCTATGCCTAATCAGTCTATCAGTCAGTTAACTATTCACACGTGGTTCATTATTAATCAAGTCGTCAATCAGTCCATCAGATAGTCAGTCATCAGTAAATAAAACACTGGCTAACTTTTATTACTTCCGCTAGCATGAATCAATCAATCAATCTATTGGCTGGTCACTCGATGCATCAATCATTCTTTTCACTTCACTTCACTTCATTTCTATTCAAGCAATTACTCAACTGTTTTACCCCTCTTCAATCACTCACCTGCAGCCGAGATGGTATGATTGCGCGTATGTGGAGTCAGATACTTGTGGAGCGTGGCAGGAACCATTGACATTATGGCATCCACGGAGTCATTGGTAACCGATTCGCTGAGCATCGCATCGCGGCTGTCCACTGTGCGGGGAGAGAATCAATTGCGATTGCGATTGCAAATGCAATTAGTAATGCTACTCACGGTAGTTAAAATTGTGATACTGCAGCAGGCCGAAGATGCACAGGGCCAAGATGAAGATGCTGCGCATGTAGAAATTGTTGCGTTTGCGCCCCATCGCCCCCGTATTGGGCAGGGGTATCAGTACACGACCTACAAACAGACCGAAACAGAGCGAGAGGGTAAATATACCGAAGCAACAACAAGAGTGATCATTCGTCTCATTTTGGGAATTACCTCTCATTTTGGACATATTCCTTAGTCAGCACCTGAATGGCTAGCAAATGCCTACTGGGCTGGCCCTTTTATAGCGCCATCTGGAAGAGAAAACATAGATTGAGAGGTAGACATTAACACGCATGTATGCGAGAGAAAACAGTGAAGCGTCGCTTGAGTGGAAAGCTAAGAAAAAGCACAATTATAATTCGAAATAGAATTGTAATATTTTTGATAATTTTCTTTCAGGGTATATGTAAATATATGTAAACTGTTGTATAATATAGTATATTAAAATATATTATATGTTATATAGTAATTAATTTAGTATAGTATATAGTATACAGTATATCCTCTACAGATCTACATAGATCATTGCAATATAGTTTAAACTTTGCTGAAATAATCCCAAAGTTTTGAATTTCTTCATTCAATTTTCACTTAAAATAAAACTGAATATAGATTTGATAGTGCACACTGTACAAGCAAGTACCAACTTATTAATTGGGCTGCTTGATAAGATATTTCCCAAAAAAAGGAAAAAACAGATACAAAATGTTTTTTTTCTTTTTCATTTTTCGGGAAATATCTTATCAAACAGCGCAAAAAAAATGACATCGAAGGAAAATTAATTTTGCTTAATATTTATCTTTCTTGTAGTTCTTTTCAATTAAACAACTTTTGACACCGTTACACGATTTTAGGAGTACGAGAGCTCTGATCGAGATTTCATTTTTATTCATGCAAATACCACACACATTTCATGGGAAGGCGAATTTATTCATTTTTGGGAATTATAGAGTTTACATCCTACACTATTGACGGCTTTATATGGATAAATCGTTCAAATCGTCGTAAATTAACGTCATAGAAACTAAACCAGGGGAACTTATAAAAGAAAGTCGTGAAGAAATCCAGTCAGTTCAGCTTGAAAGAAGTTGTCAATATATTGTTGGGCATCAGAGTGTTATAAATATGGAAATTTGACATAATTAATGCCATAATTCTATCCAACTAGAAACTGGATTTACATAAGTTTTAGTCAAACGTAAAGCTTCAATAGGATTTTGAAAAGAATGTGCCACGACTTTTTGTGATGGTATAACTAAGAATTATAGTAGACAATATATATATATATATATATATATATATATATATATATATATACATAGATATACAGCTAAATACGTATAGATCGTTAGCCACTACACAGATCTCTACTACGCAAAGCTTTTATATACAAGTTTTGGAATGCATATTACGACCTTTAGCTGCATTCTGTGCATCGACTCAATAATTAAAAAACTGCAAACGTAAAATACGAATTTGCACACAAAGCCAAGTCAGGGGCTATTTAGGCAGTTATTAGAGGGAGATAAGTAGATAGAAAGAAAGAAGAGAGAGAGAGAGAGAGAGAGAGAGAGAGAGAGAGAGAAAGAAAGAGAGTGCTAGAAAGGGAGAGAGAAGATCGACGTCGCAGTGGCCTCCTAGCGATACGTAATCGCTGCCCAAGTAGTCATTAGGCACCTAGATTTAGCCGGCCGACCCACCCGTGCCACCCGAACCACCCGAGCCACTGGCTGGCTTGTAATGTGGGCGATCATGCGGCCTCGCGTCAATTGCCATAAAAATAGAAGCAAATTTTTGGCGACTGTCTCGTGTGACAAAAAGAAAAGTACATAAATATATATATATATAAATGACATATGTATAGAAGATGTCGTAGCGGCAGTCAAACAGATGCGAAAGGGAATGTTGATGCAGTCAATCTAGAAACCAGATGTATTCTAGAAATTTTATAAAGTGGGAAATGAAACTGATTTCGATTTATAGTGGTCATTGATAGATGCAATATAATTGATATATATTATAGTTATAGCATTATCTATATAAATCTGAGCAAGTAGCTAAATTGTTCAAGAAATTTTCCTATAACAGCTTGAAAGATATATTTTAGATCGAGCACTGAGAAATACCGAATAAGAGATTTACCCAGAATAAACTATGTGATAGCTTCTTGGTTTCTCTTGATGAAAATCAAAACTAAAATGATCCGAGCTCTAAGCCCATAGGTGCTTCAGTTTCTTTTCTAATCAATTTGAAATGGACCCAGAAACACTTGAAGGTTAATATCTGTAGCAAATGCAGTTCTTTATCAATTAGCCACGCTTGCTATGCTTTTTTATATTTTATTTAGAGTATTTCTGCGTCGAGGTATAGACCACTCATCTTACTATTGAGAATCGGAAAAGAATTGCACAAAAATTAATATCCTTTGTTGTCATTTAGTGGAGGAGTATTTCAATTTCCCGACTTCAGCTCCAATCGGAACAAAATGCTCTAAATTCATGCAGATAGAGACATGGATAATCATCTAAAGAAGTTCTCTGTTCTGAAGGATCTATACAGCTAATGATTTATCTATAACTGTACATTGTTTTCTCGGCTATATATCTAGATAGTTGCTATATCTGCCCAGTTCGTAATACCCTTATCCAAAGTTCTCGCTCCAAATGTCGCACCCCATTGGCCATATCATCTCTAGCTGTATGTAGAGCTCAATAAGTCTAGCTCATTAAATGTCATTTGCCAAACAATAAAAACCGTAATTGATTGTAGCTCGTTCTCTTGACGCCCCTTTTGGACACGCCCCCCCAAATGCCATGGCAACATTTCTACTTTTTGTTCTTCCCGCCACAGTGACGAACATTAAATTTATTTTTGGTTAATGAAATCAATCGAATTTCCATAAATAGTAAAAAAAAACACAAACAACAATGAGGGAAAAGAATTTCGTATGTTTTTCTCTACCGAGGGGCGTTGCTTGATGACGTTTGAACTGGAGCTCAGGCTAAAGTGGAAGAGAGTCTTACATTCGAACTTGGGTGTGAACTTTGGATATCGATTGAGATAGTAAGGGGAGTGCCAGAAGTATACCCTGTAATCCACATATAAACATATACGTAAGTTTATAAAAGCTAAGATTAGATATCTATTGAGGACTTGAACATTGGATGATATCAGTTAAATAGTTAATCAATTGAGGTAAACATACTTTATCTATACCAACTAAGGGTATCCTACTACTATATACCTTGCATATGTATATAGTTTTCATAAATAATGTTTATGTGTATATTTGCAGGTAATTTAATCTTTAGACATGGATTGAGGTCTGAAACGTACAGCAAAAACTTTACACCTGGTCATTACTCTGTACTTTAATAAGCAATTCACAATTGCCTTTAAGTTACACCTAATTTTAGAGTATGCAACTGTAAGATACCCCTTGAATTGGCGGTCTACTAACGACCAATAACAATAATAAATGTGTAGCCTACAATAAGGGGCAAAACAAGATGTTCTTATTGGTTTATATAATAATTCTACGATTAAACCTGCATGCATTGTATATATAATCGGGAAGTATATGAAAGTCTATATGCTTAAAAACTAACATTGTGTTGAACCAATCTCTAAATCATATTAATTCATTTAATTCATTTTAATTCTAACTGAAATATACCCGCTTTTGAGTACATTTAACCACATGGTATTTAAGTGCAATTGTACTTAACACAAACGGACACTGCGGTCAAAAGCAAGACAAGCAGACAAAGGGCGGGCGGTGGGGTAGTTGGCAGCTGGGGAAACTGTGGCAGCTTTTCATATACAGGTGAAACAGGTATGTTTGTGCTTATTTATTTACTGTTTGACTGTTACGAAATCTAAGCGACAGTCATAACATCGAAAATGCTTGTAGTTGTTGTTTTGACTTGAATAGACGAGTGCTAATAGATTGAGAATATTTGTTTGTTTGTTTATTTTTTTTTTTTGTTGGGATTTCATCTTACCTTTGACTGAATTGGCAAGTGCGCAATGTTTTCGTTTGTGGCTTCGCCTTGGCTGTTGGCGGCATCGTTGAACGTTGATCGATTTTTCAGTTGGCTTCCCAAGTCCAAGTCCAAGTCAATTCGCAGCGTAACGGCTGCTGCATTTGATTTGTTGCTGTCGTTTCGTTGTTGCTGTTGCAAATCAGAGCATTTTTGCAAGTCTCTCAATTGATTAATTACTTAAATAGGTTTTATTGCTCTTGATGATGCGCGCCTTACGGCTGAGATTCGTGCAATTTTTACGCACACACACACTCGCTCACATCTACAGATGTTGACACACACACTCACACATATGCTGACCCGCACCAGCACATCTTTGAGATCTACACGGATGAAGCTACATTTTATTAGCTGTTACGCATAGGATTAGAGCACATACGTTTTATGTAAATTATGTATTCACTTTTGCTTTCTTTTTTTTTGCATGCAGCAACAAAACTCACTCTTGCTTATCCGTCTACCGCACGCGAATGTATCTTTCGTTGCGCTCTCACGACGACTAAAAATCAAAGCGAAACAAACAGCTGTGTTGTGTTTGCGCTCCTCAACACTTAGCATTGCTAATAGGGTGACCATATCACCTGAATGTAAACGATGATTATGTGTAAGTGGTTATTAATAACATTAATAACAATGTTAAGTATATAAAGGACATTTTGAATATAAATATGTATTCATAATCATAGTATATGAGTACAGATGTGAATAAACAAATATTAATTTCCTTCGAACTGCTGCATAGCCCGCTCAATTTGTTGAGCTTTGTCGGCTTAAACTTAATTTAGATGCTTTGAAATTATTTTCAAATTGATTTAAGCTAAATTTACTTATAATATATCTTGATCAGATGACATTAAGAGTGCGAAAAGTTCTAAGCGCCGGCCGAATAAAATAATCGCACTCAAATAATATGCAGCCCTGTGGGCATATATCGCAATATCGAGCGATAAATCGATAGATACATTAGTTCACTTGGAGTTGGAATTGCAGCCTTGGTGTCGTCGTCGCTTTGCACCAAACCAACATTTTTGTTACACATATTCCAAAAATAATACGAACGCGCGTGAATCATACGCGACGTCTCGGCTGACAAAAAATCGAGTGTACATAGCATAAAATATACAAAAATATTCAGTTATTGAATATATATATATTTCTATTACCCAAATACGCATAAGCAAATAAAAAATAAAATAAATATATATACGTGTATATATATTTAATAAAGTTGTCGTCGTTGCAGTAATTCCCGTCTGTCTGCCCGCCCTGCCTACGCTGCCTTTCTGCCTCGTCTGTTTGATTGTGCTACTAAATTTGTATTTAATAGTTGTGTGAGTGTATTTAGCCAAAATGTTTAGTTTTCTGAAACGCGAGACCAAGAACCAGGAGGTGGTCGAAAATGTTATTGGCGAACTGAAAAAAATATATCGCAGCAAACTGTTGCCGCTGGAAGAGCACTATCAGTTCCACGATTTCCATTCGCCGAAACTGGAGGATCCTGATTTCGATGCTAAGCCAATGATATTACTGGTCGGCCAATATTCAACTGGCAAGACGACCTTCATCCGGTATTTATTAGAGCGCGATTTCCCCGGCATTCGTATCGGACCGGAGCCGACAACGGATCGGTTCATAGCCGTTATGTATGATGATAAGGAGGGCGTTATACCCGGCAATGCGCTCGTTGTCGATCCTAAGAAACAGTTCCGCCCGCTATCCAAGTATGGCAATGCATTTTTAAATCGCTTTCAGTGCTCCACCGTAGCATCGCCCGTCCTGAATGCCATCTCGATCGTGGACACGCCCGGCATTTTGTCTGGCGAGAAACAGCGCATCGATCGTGGCTACGATTTCACCGGCGTTCTGGAATGGTTCGCGGAGCGTGTCGATCGCATCATACTGCTCTTCGATGCACACAAATTGGATATATCCGACGAGTTCCGACGGTCGATAGAGGCGCTCAAGGGGCACGACGATAAGATTCGTATTATATTGAACAAAGCGGATATGATAGACCATCAGCAGCTGATGCGGGTCTATGGAGCACTGATGTGGTCGTTGGGCAAAGTTCTGCAGACGCCGGAGGTGGCGCGCGTCTATATAGGCAGTTTTTGGGATCAGCCGCTACGCTTCGATGCGAATCGTCGGCTGTTTGAGGATGAAGAGCAGGATCTGTTCCGCGATCTGCAATCGCTGCCCCGTAATGCGGCGCTACGCAAGCTCAACGATCTGATCAAGCGCGCGAGGTTAGCCAAGGTGCACGCGTTCATTATAGCAGAGCTGCGCAAGGACATGCCCTCGGTGTTTGGCAAAGATAGCAAAAAGAAGGATTTGATTAAGAATCTTGGTCAAGTGTACGACAGAATACAGCGTGAGCACTCCATATCGCCGGGCGATTTCCCAGACATCAAGAAGATGCAGGAGGTACTGCAACACCAGGATTTCACCAAGTTCCATTCGCTGAAACCCCATCTGCTGGACATTGTTGACAATATGTTGGCCAAGGATATAGCGCGTCTCATGGAAATGATACCCCAAGAGGAAATGACACTTGTGCAGGACCCAGTTGTCAAGGGTGAGTCCCATTCGAGTACTATAATTTATATGATATTCATATATTTAATTGCCTACAATTGTCTCTCGTTCCGGTTCGTCCAGCAATTGAAGGTATTTAATCAGCCTAACCTTTAGTCACACTTGCCGTCTGCATACAGAAGCGATACTTGAGTATCGAATCACGACCTGCATTGCACATTCACTTCCATTTTATGAATTCGCTTATAATTTTAGTTCGTGACTAATTTGTATGCGATAAGTCGCCTGATTCACTTGCTCCCAATAAGAGTAGGGATCGTTTATCGATATATGCAAAAAGGGCATGTCAAATTTGGTATTTTCAGTTTCACTGTGCAAATTCATTTAATCCTTTTTAATAATTATAGATTTTCAATTTAGTTTTTCTTTTTGTTTTGTACTTAGGCTTTCCATTCTCTCTCTGTTAATTGTTTTATTTTGCCTTAATAATGGAGTGCGCGCGCGCAAATGCTGCAAAATAAAAAAAAACGTAGCAAATCAAGTTGACCTAGTTAGCAAATAGTCATACCAAATTGTGGAAAACGAGTTTCGTTGGCTACCCCACACACACACACACGCACATAGGCATGTACATACATACATGAGTATATGTGTATCTAATGGCTATAGCAATTACAATTTAACTGTTTAGCAGCGCATGCAGGCTAAATGAAAGCTACAGGAACTGTACTTGGGCATATCCACTCGCTTTCATAGTCTAATGTCGAATATGTACATATCAATCTGTTATGTTGACGAATTGACTGATTGATGATCGATGCACAGCTTCAGTGAAAGAGCGGGAAAGTGATGCTTTCAAAAGCATGTTGAGAATTTGTTTCCTTAGAAAAGTATATTTAAACTAATTAAATGTATACATTATACGATTCCATATAGAAAATGGTCCATCTTGAAGCCGATCACATACATAAGCAGCTTCCCCTTTTCGCACTTATGTAATGTGCCAAGCATAGAGTCAGGTACATCTGAATATATACATTTATATATGTATTCATATAGTATTTGCTACGTAAACAGTGCGATAAGAGCGACTTTTGCTGATAAGCAACTGAAACTTTATGCCAGACGCACTTTTTTGGCGAAAATTCCGAAATATAGTTCAAGTAAATATTAGAAGTGAGAGCGAGAGACAGAGATAGTTAATGTTGTGCTACCATTTGCCGCGGCCTAAGTGGACTTGTTCAACTTTTCTTATATCCAGCACAACTATATGGTATTTGTGTTCTGATAAGCTTCTAGTTTGTACTTGGAAACGGGGCGTACAAGTGATGTTGCCTTTTCGGGGCGTGGTCGCGAACGCTAGCTCAAGTTGTGTATGTATATTATCAGACCTGCTCGCTTGTCGTCATGTCCGAGTGATAACAAAGTATCGAACCGCATTGTTTGCCATGATGTAAGCACTGGAAAGAAAAATGTGAAAAAATGAGAGAAATACGTCAACGCATGACTCACGGGATAATGAAAAAATAGGGGCATTGAGAGTCGAGTAGAGCGCGACTTCCAAGTGCTACAGTTCACACACACAGAAACTAGTGTATACATATATATTTATATTTTACAGTCCAGCGCATAGCTCAGAGTTGGACACAGACGCATCCAGATTCGGTGGTCAACCAACCATGACAATGGCCAACAGACTAAATGGATTCGAGTGAAAACTAAACTGTAATTGTGCTCTGACTGAATGATAGGCAATAAGATACCCAGGAATTTCTACTAGCTAAGGCCTAATGACTAGGGAGCAATCGTCCAGTGAATGCTTGCTGAAATGTGGGAGCATTGAGTAGTTGCGACTAGCTCGATTATGATATACTCCTTTTCTTGAGTTTTCCATAACCTACATTGATAAACTCTTTGCCTTTGCTACACTCTGAGAAACATCAAGTTTGAATATTTCTTCGAAAGCATGATATCAACTTACTTGTAAAACTCCTACATACATATATAAACATACCCAACATACTCTGTACCCCTTTCCAGTAAATATAGCTATTTAGTCATAATAATTACTCTTGTGATTACATCAATACTTCTTCAATCACCATTTTTCTCTAAGTGTACTTAAGCACAGCCTAGCAAATGCATTAGTTTCTATGTATAGCTTTACTATATACAGTACGCATACAAGCGATTATAATTGTCGCTTCCATGATATTCTATGTTCGACCTCTGAGTCCGAACATTGTTAGCTTTACGCCCATTTGTTTGCCCGGTTCGACTTTGCTTCGGTTCTGAGCTAAGTTCAAGGTCTTGTGCTTTGTTGGTTGTTGCTCCATTTTGCCACCTGTTCATTTTCCACCCTATGAATTGTTTATTGCGAGAAATATTAATCTTAAATGCAAGTGGCCGAAGTCAACTAACGGATATTTCTGTTTGCTATGGCTATCTCGATTTTTTGTCGCGCTGCCAAAGGCTGCTCTACTGTTAGAGCAGTAAGCAAATATTTAGATAGACAGATAAAAATCAATGCTAAATGCTATCACGATTTATAAATCTTTAGTCTTTAAGTTTCACACTTGACTACAAGAAAAGAAGAGGAAATTTAGTATAGCCGAATAGTAGAACACCTGCAGTTAAGTGTAATTGTTAAGATGTATGTATGTATTAGTGTAGTCATTAATATATATATGTATTAATGTGAGCCACATATTTCAGTCATTAACAATCAATGTGTAGAGTATTAGTTTGAACATGTATTGGTGAACTTATTATTGTGTATTATTATTATCACTATACATTACATATTGAATCATTAAATATTAATGCCTCACATGTGTAGGGTTCAAAGTTAGTGCGTGGCCCATGCTAGTGCCATTGCCCGCCCCTTGCTCAGTTAGCGCTGTTCTAATTTCCAACAACAAAGAACTCGCTTTGTTATCAAAACCAAATGAGCGCAGAATA